TCAGCGATGTGTCCGCAGAAGATATCCCAGGCCTCCGGTATGGCATTCCTCCTGAACTTAAACCACATGCGGTACTGTATTTCTTCAAAATGGGCCCACACTGAACGCCCTGGAATAGGTCCGCAGTGACGCAGTCCCCAATTGAGGCGACTCCAAAATGCCTCCACAGCCTGAGTGTGGATCCCAGTATGCCGGGAGATGAATTCTATCGAATGATTCACCGTACCGTGGATAAACCCCATGTCTTTGAGGTTCCAGTAGCTACTCCAGCAATCTGTTGCGATTGCGCTACCTGGTTTAACCCGCCTCCTAATTATGGAACACATGCCTTATTCCGACCGGTTAATTTACTGTTCGCATATGGCCTTCCTCTGCACCGTATCGTTCATTCCCAGAACCCACAGTTGCCTTGTTCTCCAGCCCCGGTTGTACTTCGGACGCGAGATCCATAGACTCATGTATTTTGACTTCCACACCTGGTCCACCTACGGTGGACGCTACCCTGTTTAGGGAGTTCGAACAGACATTTCGCAATATTGCGAACCAATAGGATGAAGAACTGCCATTTTCTTTAAATTCTGCCTAAAAGGTTAAATTTCCCATAATTGGCATTCGTTACTTGCGCAACAGAAGTCCATATTGGTCGAATTTTACTATATTTCGGCACATTAAAGCAAACATTATCTTATTTAATTTGATGCTTTTTGATCACTTCCGCCACAATGATACAATGATTTAAGCTCACTAGCCAGAATTTAATGTTTGAGCAAGGGAAATATATACAGAGAGCCCTACAAATCGGTTTTGCCCACTTTACCCTTAACAACGTTTTACAGCAAATTTGTCACTGCAGCAGTCACTATGCCATATATTGCGCCTTCAGTGTCTTTCATTTGCGGCTTTAATGGAAAACTAACCTAAAAAAAGACAAGAGAGGATTGAATTGATATCTTCTTTGTAATAAAATCTAATGACAAAAACAAGTTGGTAAATAATCATAAATTCAGTAAAAACTGGTACCAATAGAAATGCATGTTGAAAGAACGTAGCTGTCGCAGAGCCGGGGAAAGTGTTATTGTACCGAGGACGCTAAAAAGTAAGTTAGAGACAAAATATTAAGATAAAAACGCAAATTTGGGCTACAGGGAAGGACCGTACCATTATCATTGTAAATAAAGATCTTATTCCTTTTCCCCTACACATATTGCGTGTATTTTACAGATAAGCATAATTTTAACGAATTCTCAAATGCCAAAATCTCGACGGAGTTGAGGATAGGAAAAATAAGTGAATGGATCTAGCATAACCCTGCATTAGGATTGGAGAATTAATCAAATGCAGTCGGCTGAATAAGTGTAAGTGAGGAGGATGAGGGATGATTTTACCTCAAAAGTCGAAGCAAGGACGTTATTGTGTGCCCTCAAACAGGCACCCGAAGAAGTAGGATAGTCGCTTAGAAACCGACAATGTGTACGCGATCAACTACACACTATCACCTTTTAAAGCTAGTGTAGATTTCCTTATACATGCAGTATAGCTGCGAGTCCGGCGATTGGCTTAGCAACCGACAATGTGTACGCGTTCAGCTACACACTACCACCTTTTAAAGATAGTGCAGATTTCCTTATACAGGGTGTCCCAGAAGTAACTGACCCTTTTGATTTGCCAATAAAACGAAATCTGTTAACGCTAGGATATTGAAGCTTGTATTATTCGAAAGAAAAAACTTTTTATGCTTTATTAGATCTAGGTTTTGAATATAATGTCTTTTAAATGATGGCCATGGTTGTTTTGACAACTTAGTTTCGTTTCTTTGTCGTTTCCATAACGCTCCTTAGTGTATCAGGCGATAGTTGTTTTATTGGAGAACAAATTTTGTTTTTAAGTTCTTGCAGATTTGTTGGATTTGGTTTTGTTTTCTTTCGAATAAAACAGGTTTTAATATCCTAGCGTTAATAGTTTTCGTTTTATTAGCAAATCAAAAGGGTCAGTTACTCCCGGGACGCCCTGTACATGCAACACAGCTACGAGTCCGGTGTTTGGAAGCATGAATAGACGCATCTGGATACACGGGGAAAAACGGCTAACGAAGGAGCATAAAACTAAAGCCAAAACTAGTCGTAATATTCCGACATGAAGGTCTCACGCGTTGCGGAATGCCTACTTGCAAGTTGCCTGTGTTTCATCATCCTCCAAGTCCTGTCGCCACAGAGATAGGGAGGACGTGTGACATGACAGTGGTAAAGACAACGCACACATAAATAGTTTATAAAAAGGGCAAACCAACTGGGCGGAAGGCACAAAAGCCATACCTGGGTGGACACGATCGACATGCCGCTCCAAGGTTTGCTTCGTTACAAAAAACATGCCACAAAACTCGCAGATATGCTTATTTGGATCTGAGGAAAAAATAAGAAAGATTGTTCATCATCTTGAGACACTTTACAAAAACAAAATTGCTAGCCTACGTGTGCAATTAAACGCAGGTATTTTATGAAGTAGAAATCAAAACTGTTACGAAAAAGAAAGAATGTGTCAGAGTGCTACCAAACTATCATCACTGTGCGCAAATAGAACACCTTTCTTATGTTTTCGACAAACGTAAGTTCAATAAATTCTCCACAGCCAAACTTTTTGGCGGTTTTTAAGTTAGGAAATGAAACCAGTACAACCGATGCAGTTAAGAACCTACACTGGGATCTCTTAATGCCATGGGATAATGTAGGCTGAAAATTCAGCCAATTATGAAGCAGTCGGGGAGCTCGGCTGGGGTCACGTTGCTCAGATATTTAGGACGTTTTAATTACGCCAATCTACTGCTAAGGACGAGTCTTGATTATTAGACCGGTCAACCTCATAAAGAACGAATTAGAACACCGGCTTGTGAGGGATGCCGTCTAGGTCAAGTTGGCTATAAAAACAAAAACACAATTTCAAGGAAAGGGCATCTTTGGGAAAATGGGGAAAATTGATTGAGTAAATTTTTGACACTGGATTCCTACATGACGGCACACGGCTTATCGCTGGCCTTGGAAACGGATTCACCAGAGACGGACATCTTCCCAAATTAACCGTGCAAACCTTATCACTTTATTTGAACGCCGGTCCGCCTAACCACTTACATTTTGACCTCAACCCCCC